AGCCCTCTGATTTAATTAGATTTAATTTTTTACCTATAGTTACTGAAATCAAATCCGATCTCCAAAGATGGATGAATTTACCAGTGTCATTACTAGGCCGGGTTGCAATTATAAAAATTAACGTTTTGCCACGTTTATTGTATCCAATTCAGATGCTACCTATCTGTATTAGGGATGTCCCGGTATCGGCCACCGATATTAGCAAAAAACGGGCATCGGATCGGACTGCATGGAAAAATGCCGATCCATGACCTCCGATCCAGTTTTTCACGGAATCCGTGCCAAGTTTTCCGGCCAGCCCAGCGCTCCGCGATTCAAGCAGTCCATTCCAGTGATCTGCTCCAGCTCTTACTATCAATCCACCAGGCCAGCATGCAGACGGCAGATACACCGAGGGTAGGAAGAGTAGCGGTCAATTTAGTTAACTGACTATTTGTTTTCTGCTCTGGTTTTTTGAGAGTGATATTTTTATTTGGTTTACACTCTTACTGTTTAAGTAAAGAGCACTGATGGCATTGTTTTGGGCACAATTAGTGAAATTGGAGCCATGGATGGACTACAAAAACACTACTAAAATAACTGAAAAGGAAAGGCTGCATTGTTTGTTAAATGCCAACAGTGTCTTGTGGTGTTAATCTATTTTTTATTTATTAGGGGGCAAAGCACAAGTGTGTGGAGTCTTGCTGCTATTTTAATTTCATTGTTAGACATTTTAAAGATTTCTTGTGTTGATTCATTTTCTATTTATTAAGGGGCCAAAGCAGCCAAATGCAAACCAGCTATATTTTTTATTTAATGTTAATGTTCAAGTTTAAAGTTTATTTATTTAACCCTGTTAACAATAAACAGGTCAGTTTCTCATACCAACTGTTGTGGATCATTCTAACTAACCTGATTAAGTAGTTGTTCTTTGCTTGATCAAACCTTTTCTAACATGACTGACAACAAAATAAGTGAATATGTATAATACATGCTTGGATCGGCTCGGTATCGGCCAAAACTCAATGCTGTAATATCGGTGTCGGATCGGAAGTGAAAAAGCTGGATCGGGACATCCCTAATCTGTATTCCATTAAAATGGTTTAAAATAATACATAGTGCAATTCGTAGATTTGTTTGGAAAAATAAGCGCCCTAGGATGAAATTACAAAAGCTCCAATCTCCCATAAAAAAGGGGGGGTTAGCCTTACCTAATTTGAAGTACTATCACTGGGCCTCACAATTAAGATTTGTTATAGATTGGGTAAAAGACAGTCAGTTTTCTTTTACAGACCTGGAAAGTATAGGTCTAGATAACATTTCAATGTCAGACCTTCCTTTTGTATGCTCCAGAAAGTAGATACTTAGTAGATACTTTGGACCTGAGTGGTCAGCAGTAATGTGTTTTGGTGTGGAATGAGTTTAATTTTTTTCATTACATCCCCCCCCCCCCCCCTTTGTTTTTGTTCTTGTTGTTGTTTTGGTTGATGGTTGATTTTGTATGGTGTTATTTATGTTGAATGAAGGACAGTAGTTATACATTTAGAAAAAAATATTAATATTTAATATTTTTATGGTTGTTTTTCAACAAGGACAAAAAACGTCCCAAAGGGGAAAGGTGTGATTTTTTTATAAGGGGGACCGGAGCGTCTGTTTCGCTTGCACTGGCACCATGCAGTTTCGGGGTTCGGGTAGGAACCCGGACACAAAAAGGACTACAAAATTTGGCTGCTTTACGGCATACGTCATATCTCCCTCCTCTCTTTAGAGTAGCGTAGCCGAACCGAGGTGAACGAAGTTAGACGTGGTTGTTAGGCTGAAGCGACAAAGAAAAGGAAGAAGGTGAAGGTGTTGTCAGAGGAGACAAGGACAAGGAAAAGAAAACAGGAGAGAGATAAATCAAGAGCTCGAACCAGCTTTCACACGCTGGTGAGAGCTGAAAGAGGAGGAGGGATGCCCGACCGATGGTGACCTGGCGCTGTTACTGCTGTTACCCTCTACTTAGGAGAATTACTGTCTGCAGGTCGGCTGCCTCAGGTACATTTTAAGATGAAGTGTTAACCTACATACAGACAGCTTTCATTTTAGTTTGTCTTTAACAGTTTGCTGTTAGCACCGCAAGCGCGATGTGCTTGTGTTGACCGCAATCGTAAATCATAATAGCGGTGAATGAGAGACTGCGGACAGAGTAGATTGAAATATGGCTTTCTACACGCTGATCACATGTATTCATAAAGTATTGGCTGGCAGAGGTTTTATCACACTTACTTACAGTAACAAGCGTAGTTGTCATCAACTAGAGTAATCTTGAAGTTATATTCCCTTCATCTGCACTGCGGCCTCTTTGCTGTTGTCTGACTACCGTTTTTCGTCTGTAAGGGGACCCCATGAGGTAAAAAGCGCAATCCTCCATTGTGTTGCTTTAAAATAACATCTGTACAGATGTGAAGCCCTGACTATATCTGACTGATATCTAATGAAAGCTGTTGTCTTGTATTTTTTTCCTCAGAAAATATTAACCTTATAGTCAAACACAGTTTATTTAGCCTATGTAGTTGAGGCAACAGGCCTGCTCAGCTGATCTGCAGCAGCAAACTGATATGATGCTGATTTACATGCTTTGCTCAGCCCCACTTACCCACCCTCTGCTCCCTCAGTATGATTGTACTGGGAGTCCTGCTCACAGGGACTTACTTTTGGAAGGTGTTACACTTTAATAGCTCATTTTAAAGAGTTTCTTTTCTGATGTTTAGAATAATGTTTGATTTAGGCCCTGTCTACACATATACAAATATTTTTGAAAACTGCTATTCTCTCTCTCTCTGTTAAAAAAGATTTGCACACACCACCGTTTATTTATAGTTACTGGTAAGAGAGATGGAGATAATGAAGCTCAGTGTTGCTGTGTAATTCTCTGGCGTATTAGTAAAGTGTATAAACTACACTGCAGAGTGAAGTCTCTACTAACAGAGACAAACAATGACAGCTGACTTATACGAACAGGTGGAATGCACATAGGCAGGTCCGCGTTACATCTGGTGCATGAAATGTTTCTATCATCACGCTACATTTTTATAGCACATCCAGGCACCTAGGTTCACCGTTCCATGATAAACTAGCCTACAAGTACCATGTACAATAGCGATGTGCTATTAATTGACAACACACATTAACACTCAACACAGACAAGCAAGCAGCTGTGTCTCACACACACAGCAAAGCCAGAGAGAGAGAGACATGCTCCACACTGGTTTGCCAGGTAATGATACAAATAAACACTAGCTGTAGCATCACATGGCTAGCGGTTATTAAAAACTTAAACAACAAACTTACGCCTTTTAAAACATGTCCACACTGCACCATTTTTTGCCCTCTAGACAGCGTGCTGCATTTGTTGTTGTCCTTCTTTTCTATGTTTATTGGCAGCTCATAAACCAAGTTTAAAGGTACATGTACTGCCACCCACTGTGTCAGGTGTCCAGGTGCTACCCTTGTTAAGTCAATGAAAACAGTCTGGCTTTGTGTTATTGACACTATTTATTGGCTATAATTTTAATTATCGGATTAATGCATAACTATAAAAATGTCCCTTTATTGGCCCGATATGTATTGTCTGTCAATCAATCAATCAATCAATTTTATTTATAAAGCCCAATATCACAAATCACAGTTTGCCTCACAGGGCTTTACAGCATACGACATCCCTCTGTCCTTAGGACCCTTGCAGCGGATAAGGAAAAACTCCCCCCAAAAAAACCTTTAACAGGGGATAAAAACAGTAGAAACCTCAGGAAGAGGAACTGAGGAGGGATCCCCCTCCAGGACGGACAGACGTGCAATAGATGTCGTACAGAACAGATCAACATGATAAATTAACAGTAATCCGTATAAGTCAATGAGACAGAAAGGGAGACAGAGACAGAGAGATGCAGGACAGACGGTAATGACAGTAGCTTACAACAGCAATAATGAAAGTAATAATATAATTAATATTACAGGCTATTTTGGTACAATATGTTGAAAGTATATATTAATATCTGATAGTATACATATGTGACAATAATCATATTGTGCATCCTAATGTAAAGTGGTCGTTAAACCAAGCAGTACTAACAAAATCTTAACAAACTGGTAGTCCCGCCATTGTTGTTGTTGTTTCTGGCACATGCTCATTACACAAAGCAACAGTGGCGTAGAGTTGCAATGGTATAAGATTTTCATGGTACGATAATCGTCTCAGAAAATATCACGGTGTCACAGTATTACAGAATTTATTTTATCATCAGTAAGAATGACCCTTAAAGGAATGAAAATGGAAGGGTTATTGTTGGTTGAACAAATGTGTTATTACTATATTTAAAACTTGAAACTGTTTTATTAATGCAAGTATGTGTAAAAAGTCTCCCCTTTGAAAATAACTACAGTTGCATTTTTTTCAATATCGTAAATGAGCAAATGATATCGTAAATAAGCAAATGATAACCGTCGGCTTATTTTTATTTATTTTATTTTTTTATTTTATATACTTTATTAATCCCCCTGAGGGGAAATTCAATTTTTTCACTCTTGCTGTCAATTACACAAAGGTCTGAAAGACACACATGCACAAACAGGACCTATACATGCACAAAGTGGAGAGATGTCAGAGTGAGGGGGCTGCCTTGGTCAGGCACCCCGAGCAGTTGGGGGGTTTGGTGCCTTGCTCAAGGGCACCAGCCACCAGTCCACACTCCACACTCCACACGGGGACTCGAACAGGTGACTCTCCGGTTCCCAACCCAAGTCCCTATGGACTGAGCTACTGCCGCAGTATGTCACAGTATACCTCAAAACTGGTATATCGCTGCAACCCTATTCCTAAGACTCCCCAAATGACTCCTTCTACTTCAAGGACAATACTTTGTTGTTCTGTATTTTATATTTAACTTTGTGTTTTAATCAAAATGTATGACACCTCTTGGATTTGTTACCAACACCCCCCCCCCCCTCCTCCTCCTCCTCTCACTCTCTCTCTCTTGCAGAGGTCTTCCATTTTTGGATTAGAAGGTTTTCAGATCTGCAGTGTGTTCCAGGTGAGACTTACAAACCTGTTTTAATCTACAACAGATTAGATAAGTTATTTTCTTTTGAATATTTGGTTGAATAACTGATTATGTTCTCAAAATACAAAATACACCTCTCTCTGCCAATTGCTGCGGCAGACATGTCAGAATTGCTGTAAGAAACCTATGTGTAAGAACTAAACCTATGTGTAAGAACCAACTGTTTATTAAAAATTTACTTCTTCCCTCCTATTTTGCTGTACCCCCTTCACCTCACCCTGCTCCCTTCTTCTTCCACTTCTGCTTTTTCTTCTTTCTTCCTCTTACCTCTTCTCTAGGTGATTTTTTATGTGGAATGTCCAGGCTAGGTGGCCTAGGGGGTCTCAGCCCCAAAACACAGACCACCAGCACAGACAGTTCCACTGCTGAGAGACTACACATGCATCTTCAGATGGACATATACTCATATAGAAACACCTGCATAGCTGCTTGAAAAAGAGAACTGACCAAGCAGCAAATCTGGACCTGATATTCAGGACCTAGCTGGCCCTCCAACAGAGGTCACCTTTGTTGTTGTTAGCTTTCATTCAGCCAACTTCTATTTCTTCCTCTTTGATTCCCTAACCTTTTACATTCCATCCACCAGATAATCATCTATCCTTTCCTCTGTCCCTCTTTCCATTCAGTCACCAGTGAATGTATATTGCACTGCAGAGCTTGATGTGGAGAGCAGGTAATGGATGATGCTGGCCATGGTGACCTAGTGTAAATGGCTATTCCTCAGCACAGCTTAGTGCCATTCTCTACTGCTCAATTTTCCTCCTTCACTCCCCTATCCTCCTACCCCTTCTCCACCTCTCTGCTCTCCTTCCCTGTTCACTGCTGCTTCTTGCTGCCCAGTCCTGCCTCTCCTCTCCAACACCATGGTAGTTGCAGGCTTGGGTGTTTGGAAGCTAATGAGAGGTGTCCGTCAGCTGGAGCTTCACCGCCTCATCCTGGCACTTATCATCTTCTGCTTACTGTCCATGGCCTTCCTAGCTTACTACGTCTCCAACAGTCCCAAAATCAAGGAGGCCCCCCCCTTACCCTTTAGTGACTGTGGTGGAGGAGGGGGGATGTCACCAGGAGCGAGTACCGGGGCTGCCGGAGGAGGGCCAGGCGTCCAGAGGGCACCACTTTTCCTTCCTCTGCGCCAGGGCCGACTACGACAGGTGAAGGCGGTGGACAATTCTAGGACGGAGCCAGTAGTTCTGGTGTTTGTAGAGAGCATCTACTCCCAGCTCGGCCAGGAGATTGTAGCCATATTAGAGTCTAGCCGTTTTCACTACCGGACAGAAATTGCTCCTGGTAAAGGAGACATGCCCACATTGACGGAGCATAACCGTGGACGCTACACACTGATAATCTATGAAAATGTGTTGAAATATGTCAATCTGGATGCATGGAATCGTGACTTGCTGGACAAGTACTGTGCCGAGTATGGAGTGGGTGTCATTGGCTTTTTTAGAGCTAATGAAAACTCTCTTCTCAGTGCACAGCTCAAAGGTTTCCCCCTCTTTCTACACTCACACCTGGGACTCAGGGACTACCGCATCAACCCCAATGCTCCTCTACTCTACATCACCAAGCCCAACCAGGTGGAGCAGGGCTCTTTACCAGGGGATGACTGGACTATTTTCCAGTCCAACCACTCTACCTATGAACCAGTGCTTCTGGCCAGCACCAAGTCTGCTGAAGCACTGGCACATTTTGGACCCAGCCCCTTGCGGGCTCTCCATGCTACAGTGGTCCAGGACTTGGGGCTCCATGATGGCATTCAAAGAGTTCTCTTTGGAAACAATCTCAACTATTGGCTTCACAAGCTGGTGTTTGTAGACTCCATCGCCTACCTGACAGGAAAGAGACTGTGTTTGTCCTTGGACCGCCACATCCTGGTAGATGTGGATGATATATTTGTGGGCAAGGAGGGAACCCGTATGAAGGTGTCAGACGTGGAGGTGGGTGAGCCAGAGTCACACAAGAGACCACGAATTACATTAACTTTAGTCGCCTCTCTCATTGCGTAGTGGTTGCTTGTGAGATTTTGACATGCCTTCATATTCATGTTAAGAGGGGTTCAGACTGTATGCAAAGGAAGTTACTTTCTTGCACACTGAAAGAGTAGTTGAAGCATCTGTTCAGAAGTTTAGTTTTTAGGATGCTAATGTGCAATGACCATCGTTTAGTAATTCAGTTTAAACAAGAAGAATTACTGAAAGCCTTAAAACAGCTGTGATCATTTTTTGTAATAAAAATACTGTGTATCATGACAACCTGGAAACAATGACAGTGTGAAAGGGGTTGCTTGTAGTGATAATCGCATGGAGGAGTTGGTAGAGACAAAAACTGAACTAAAAGAGAGTAAATATTGGACTGGCATTTATCAATAGCACTCCAAATGAATGATCATGTTGCTAAGTAACTGCTGGATGTGGAAATAAGTAGGGCTACCCTCTAATAGTCGACCAAATGTTAGTCGATCAGAGAGGTCATTAGTCAGCAAGATTTCATCGGTCACTTTGTCGTAGAAAAAAAAACCCAAACAAACACATAAATGTGAAACGCTATTAGGAGCTGCACCTTGTCAATATTAATCAAAACCTATATGACTGGACCATGTGGGTATTCAATTTGAAAAGACAGACACAGGAAGTGGCCATGCTCAGCAAACAGACAGAAGTCATGTTAATTTACAGGGCTGGTACCTGTGGTTTTTACACAGGCTAGTTAATAACATGTCAGGCAGAAAATACAAAGTGTGTGATCATTTTGAGAAGGTAAACAATGAATCCAAGGTGATATGTAAACTCTCCAGGTAAACATTTGCCTATCATTTGTCGACCACAAACATGACGTATCATCTGAAACATGCAAGTAGCTAAATGCCCATTAGCCACTTAGCACAGTCATCACTGCTTTGCCAACAGCTTAATAACCAGGTGGCTTGCTCAGTGTGTGATGTGCACTTGTAGATAAAATATAGGTCTATATTAATTAGGGTTCATCAATATGGTTTTGTATTTCCCTGTAATGTAGCACAGTGTAAACAATGTTACTAAAACTATTCTTTCTGAGACCTTGAACTTAAACCATTGTGTTGCCCCACCCAAACTATAAAATTTAATAATTATGTTAATATCGTAAACATGCTGGCAACTGGTCAACTAATGGCCCTAAATGACAATTATTGGTCAACAAGGAAAGTTCTTAGTCGGGGGCAGCTCTAGAAATAAGCAAGAGCCAACAAGTTTGCCGTATCAATATCTCCTCAGCACCATTTCCTCCACAGTATACTCTTATTCGAAAGTGATCATGATGGCACCTCATCCTGATTTTTTGTGTGGGACATTTTCTTGTGAAAGCCTCACTACTTTGCAAAGTTACTTCTTTGCTGACTACTGTTGGTTTACCAACTAGTACACAGCCCTGATCATCTAATGATAGCACACGTCTGAGTTGAACATGGAGGAATATTGCATTAATGGTTTTAGCTGAAATTATGACACTCTGCAAAATAATAAAATACCATTCATCTCTCCCCAAGCAGCACTCAAAAACTTTTTCTTCTTTTCACAGGCGTTACTCAACACTCAAAACAAGCTAAGGGTACTGGTCCCGAATTTCACCTTCAATTTGGGATTTTCTGGAAAGTTCTATCACACAGGTATGAGAAACTTGACATCATCATATCGACAAGGTTTTCTGTTTAAAACATATACGTATATATGTGTGTGTGTGTA